ACTTAGATAGGCATACCAATTGAGTGCCGGGATGTTCAGCTAGGTAGATACATAATTTCAATTTATTAAATACGGCAAAATTACACTGAAAACCTTGTTGAACAAATTGATGATCTCTACACTGAACTTCATAATTGTCTCCACATCTGATTTTAAGACTTTCACTATGGTTTCAGGTTTTAATCCACAAATCTACTCCAGACATCTATTTCCTTTTGGGTTTCTTTGTAGACTAGCATCGACTTCCCATTTTAGGATTGCGTTTGCATTTTTGGGATAACTGACGGTGAATTCAATAAAACAACCATTTAATTTGAGTTCACCCCAAAGGGATCGTAGTGAACTTCCTAAAAAAGAAAAACACAAAAGCACTGATAACACTTCGGTTTCCCTAAGACACTCAGCTTGTTATCGCACAGACCAAAATGGCCATGATCATTATAAACCCAATCTTTTAATCAAATCTGCAATTCACTCATTTTCCTTTCGAACTGCACACAATTTTCAGCTTTTCATTTTTATCTTTTGTACAGCCGTCTTGAACCGATATATAAACTTTCATTTGATGGAATTGTTTCGTCAATGTATCCTGCTGCACAAGCAAACAACAACAAGCGCAATTTCGGCTCACCTCGCTGCGACTGAGAACCAGCTGGACATCGATGTATTTGATGTCATCTACACAAGTCCTCACGACAATTCGAGAGAGGTTCGGCTACATCAATTCTCAACTACAATATCCCTCGCAATAAAAATCCTTAACCTAACCACAACCAAAACATGCGAAAGTGGTTCCCGCACTCCAATTTTCCTGATCCCGCCTCAATCCGCGTGACGAACCGTACCATGACCTTAAAGACGCAGCATGGCTTGACATATCGTGCGTGAAAAAAGCTCAATGGAAATTTTTAGAGCGGACCTTGATTCTGACACCACCACTTCTCTAAAAGTTCCAAGCCGAGATTTTCGGGAAGATCGGTTGCGTTTAGCTTATTACTGTCGAATATTTTAACCCTTAAAAGTTGTAAGTAGTACCATCGCACAAATAAAAATTGTACCAGAAGATCATCTGGTGCTGATGATGCATATTGCTACGTATTTAAGTACTGAATTGGGATATAATCTATTTTGCATGAATGTTAAAAAACATTTTCTATCCCAACGACCTCATATCCGATAGAAGAGCTTAATCATTTATAGTGAACACTTTCTATTTCCTTCATGTCCACTGCGATGACTCACATTCTGGTGTTTCGACTAAAATGCAGCTACTTACAACTGTTTATAGCCAAATGGGAACTTTTACCGGAGCATAAAGTTCTGAAGTGATGCACATTTGGTGCACGCATTCACTGTTCTATTGACTAAACCTAATTCCAGAATTTATCCAGTACTGTATGAAAGTGAAAACGGTTCATCACTTTCGAAATTTGGAGAGGTATCCGACATTTTCCAACTGAATAGAAGTTGCTCAATGATAACAGAAGAAATAGATTTATTCTACCTAGACAAATTTCAATTGACACGAAAAGTAAACAAAATCAGTTTGATCTCATGCTAAGTATTTACTAAAGTGTGTCCCATAATTTTTATACTGTTTTTATGACATTGCAGGCCAGCGACAAGAACACGGGATTGCTAAATCCAATGAACGGAACCATTCTGATTGAAATCGAGTGGGTCTATCATCATCTGATATTTATTGATCGACTCCATTCAGCAGACTTGATCAGTGCGCGTCAGTACCATCAGATGAGGTAAGTCGGCAGATAAGAGCGACTGATAACTACCACATGATTCTTGTTTGCACGAACTACACACTGCCAGTTTTAACATTGCTACTGAGTTGAAAACACTGATTTTACATGAGAGATTTCAATAGGGAGCTCACAAACGGGTTTGCACAGTGTATGTACGACCACTTTGTCTCAAATCTACGTATGCCTACTGCGTTCATGATTATTTTTATGATCAGTGCAATAATGAACGAAAGGAGAAGAATAGATTGCTATTTATAATAGACAACATGAAATATGCTAAACTAAAGTGGGCGAGTTTGGGGGATTGTCATCAGAATAATGCACATATGACCAACCATTCACATTCGTTACATTGATGGTGTAGTAAAGACTGACACCTGAATACCAACAGCCTCGGTGGAAGTACTACGGCTTTCCTTCTCCTTATTAAACTGTATTTGTAAATTCAAGCGTGGACGCTCAACCTCTAACTCCGTCACGGTAGTTACATCACCGAATATTCTATTTCATCCCAGTATGGCTTGGGGAGGCGATGAAGAAGCAGTTGATGAATTTCTCAATTGTTTTTTTTATAAAATTGTTGGTGGTGTGCAACTGAGTTTAAATAGTTCTACCACGTTTAGAAATTTTAATTTCATGCGTTTTGGCTACCCAAATGACGCATTTGATTTCCCAGTGCAAAATATGAAAACATGACAACAATTGATAATTTTGTATCCACTGAGTCACGAATCGGTAGCATCATCTGTGATCCTTTCATATTTGGCCATTGACCGTGTTCACAGAAGAATTCGCATTCCACCAATTAGTGTGCTAGCTGCCTTATTTATCAGATTTACTGGCGAATCAATCCAAACTAACCGAAGGAACTCAGCAGTTCATGTAATTTATCAAAATGGTGTGGCTTTGGCAGATAACAGAGGGCCAACTATTCGTGTTCAAATAGTAAAAAGACATAGGAAAACTGTCAGAACAGATAGCTTAAATGCCAATTCCATCTGTCCTTTTAGATTGGGTCAGTGGTTGATTATGGAAAATTCAGGACCGCTGAGACACCCTCCGAACTCAACTGGTTCAGGTTGGACCGTACAACATCGTAGGCGAGATGGATACGCATGCCTAAATCCCATAGTGGATCATGATTTTTTCACCATTCTATACACGAGTTTCGTTGTTCGATTAACTGTCAAAACCACGAAAGTTCTACTCAACATCTGACCAGTTTTTTCGCATTCAACGACTGTACAATGTTTTCGAATGCAGGACATTTCCAGTCCGTTACCATCCATGAGATTTTTCTTATTGTGCCAAATTCAAATGTATATACTTGTGAACGGGAAGTAACTTTCGGACACTAGTAAATAAAGCCAGTAGCTGAAAACTTTCAACCGAGAAACAGGATAGGAAATCGACCCCAATAAGCACGTTTCACATATGAGAAAATTGACCAACACATCGATGCTCTTGTCTATGCAATTTTATTTTCATTTCCCGGCATGTAAATTATCCCTGTAACAATTTTCAGACACGAATTGAATAGATTACGGAGAGAACGAGATGAACTGGAACGCCAGTTGATGATCAAAGAAATGGGTCTCGTTCAAATTGATTCCACGAGCTGTCAGGGTCCAATGAGTATGCTGCCCATTGAATCTGTATCAACGTTCAAAACGTCTGAGGAAGAGGATCGCAGCATCGTACAACAACGCACCTCAGTTTACAAAGCGAGCACTGTCCCCAGCGGGGAAAGACCGGTTTCCCTTGAAACTCGAGCTCCGAAAACGCAGTCCTACATTGTTCCTTCCGAGTACCGTGAACCAAGAAGAATTTCCAGATCTGCCTATCGAGACAGTTATGGGAGTAGGCTGGATTCTATCGGACGTTCAGAGTTTGGACGACAAGATGATTCGGGAGGTCTGGGACGTGGTCAGTCCAGATATTCGTTTGATAACAATGCCAATCTGGAAGATCAAATAGCCATGGACAATTGTTCAGTGGGAAGGAGTTCAGTGAACTCAGATTTCGCAATTTCTAGGTGAGTTTGAGGAATTGCAGTTGTCTACAAATTAATCTATTTTGAGTGGACTGACGACTGATTTATCATTGAACTAAATCCACAAATGGATAGTAAACTGTGAATTTATTTGCAATTGATGTTACGTTTGAGTTACCAAATCGGTTATGATTTATTGATCTTAAATAAAAGATACTTGAACAATGTGTTCATAGGTACTGTTGTTAATTTGTTCACGTATCTAAGATCAAAGTAAGAAAATAATTGATGCAAACAAGAATATTTCCGAAAAGTTAGTCACAACCAGAGCAAAAATATGATAACTAATCTTGGGTAAAATCTATCCACAAAATACGAACCCATCAGAAACTCCAAAGGAAAGCTACATGCTATTTGATTCTATCGTTTGCTCTAATTTTTTCTCAGATCCGGATGAGTTATCCTAGACACTGTTTGTATCGAAGTCAAAAGTTTGGGTTCAGTTCACCGGCCGTGTACCTCCGGCAGTATAAGTCATAGAGACTTCCGTATAATCGTATTCATTGAATCAGTACTTGTGTTTAATCAATTGTAATCAAGTCCCCGTCTGTTAAGTAAATGTAGCACTTATGCACGGATATGGTTCTCAATATTGGGCACAATTCTCGCTTTAAAATTAACAGTGAAAAGCTCAGGGTAAACTTATTAAAGGAAAATCATCGAGAGATCCATTCGAATCCAATTGACTCGTTAGATGTATTTAACGAGTTAATCTACGATTAGAACAAATGCAATGCTCAAATCCCTTGTAACTATCCAATGATAATTTTTTACCTATTTTGAATTATTCGCTTTCGGTCTGCGACACTGGATAGTCTAACAAACACTTTTACGATTTTACCAATCAAACCAAGTGACACGACCGCTGTGGCAAATGGTTGACTTATTTGAAATTGACACCACCATCAGTGCCACCGATCATGTCGAATTTTCAAATGGAGGTCTATAATGGTGGTGACCATATTCTTTGGAAAAGACAGGTCCTTGGAACTGCATAATCATCACTGAGACACTATTAGAAGACACAATGTGTTTCCCCCGAGGAACGGCGGAGCGCATATTCAATTCAGAAGCAAATTACACTTGACCTGTTGATGCAGCTTTTTTACTCCTTTTCTTTTTAATTAGAAAACGGCGGACTCTGTTCCTTGTTGGTGAAGATTCAGACCGTAACGTAAAAGACGCTTCCATCAGCTTATGGTGACGCATTATAATAAATGGTCCAGAGTGCCTTCTGCAAATAGTGTTCCAAACATAAACAGTGAATCTCTAGCAATACTTGCTCTCTGAAAACAAATCTTGACAACTGAAGAATGACATGCCCCACACCACTGACGAGACGAAAGATGTGTGCTATATGATGTGCCTGAGATATGTCGAATGCAGGTGAAATCTCCGGATGCCAAACTAGTGGGATCTCCATCCGCTTCCCTATCGGCAGTCACGCAACAAACCTCCTGTTGAAGCAGCCCTAATGGTGGTACGTTCAGTATTAAAAAACGAACGAATCCTTCTATTCCAAGTTCCAAGTGATACCATGTGAATTCCGAACAGCTGATTGTTCATAATCAGAATATAAGGACAAAATATTCTCCATTATTTACATTTTTCCTTGTACAACTGATTCGAACCCTGACCAAAGAAAAGAATGGTTATCTGGTTTCATGCTGTGAAAACAAATCATAACTCGTTCTCAGGCACATAAAGACAATCCCGTTAGCCGTTTTAGTAGATGTGCAAGCATACCATCGTCTCTCGCCAACCGAATCCGTCACTGATGAGATCGGTTTGGCGTAATCAACGATTTGAATCTTTCTTGTTCAATCAATGACGTAACAACTGCGAATCGATGGCATATCGCTTTCTTAAGCTACATCCGGATGTGATAGGATATTTCGTGACTTTACTGACTGTCTTACCCATTTAGGCGGCTGATCACCCGCATTAGAACTGATCATAGCAATTTGATTTGGTAGAGTGGAATTTCTTTTTTTTCACCCAGGACGTTGGTAAGGAAGACAATGAGGGGGTCGACTGCGCAGTAGATACATTAGGCGGTAGCGTTCAAACTCTCACTAAATCTATTTCCCATTTGGTTGAAAGATTACCAGGTTTGGTATCAAGTGAACAGACACGAGGAAGAGAAATCAGTATAACGGGTAAAGGTCACAATTATTCGATCGGGATTGCACGCGGGAGCAAGGAGCATAAATACTGCAGTGCATTCGGCCTCGTTGGTCACGGGCATCTGAGACTATTCACAAAATCGATTTTGCATAGAAGAGTTGAGTTTGTACCGTTGAACAGCAGCTCAATTCAGGTCAAATCAGGTAAAGCTTTATGCACCCGCTAGGATGAATCTTCAGCATTTCGACAAGTTAAAGCGAGGAAAACGATAACGAGGAAAACGGTAAGCATTAAAAAGGAAGAAATATATATTTACTAAATGTAAAACAAACGGATTAGATAAAATCATAATGTGACAGATGACGATTGTTCAATTCAGTAATAATATTAGCTCGACTGACCAAGATACGAGCAAAATAAGGGATCGTGCTGTTCTGTGAGTAGTGGTGCGTGCAAAAAGAATCCGAAATTGGGAGCGGATACTCGGATGAGACACCATTTTATTGAGATGGGATTGCAGGCAGTGTTCTTCATTGGACAGGATATGACAGATAAATCGATCGCATGAATCAAAATGCTTGTTCACAATAAAGTCAACCAAAACGGTCTTTGAAATGCCGCTGCAACGAGAAAGAAATTTAAGAGATCTGGGAACCAGAATAAAGTCTTTCTCCTTCAGACCAGGAACATATACGGGGGAACAGTACAACCAATGTGGAAGAATGCATGTAGTCACAAATTTAAGAATTACGCTGAGCTTTCTAAGTCTAAAAGCGTAAAATGATATTCTGCGCACCCGAATATAAACGTTTTCAACATGTTTGGACCAAAAAAGATTGTGTGACAAACCGACTCCAAGATATTTCACGGAGTTAGCTTTGGGGATAGTATTACCATCAACAGAAAGTTCAGACTGATTTCTCAAAAGGGTTTGATAAGGCACGCCTGTTTTAAGGCTAAAAGAAACATCCACACATTTATCTACATTTAGCAATAAAGATCGAGAAGTAGACCAACTAAAAATGTCATTTAGACGAACTTGAAATCGACAGAAACAATCAGGAACAGTCGAGGGACAGCCGACAACCACGTCATCAGCATACTTGCAGGAGATAAAGTTGGGAGGAATGGGAAGGTCCTTAATATACAGTGAAAAAAGAAATTGAGACAAAATTGCACCAGGTGTAACTCCAGAGTTAACTTCTAGCAGGGAGGAAGATTTACCGGTATGAAAAGTGTATTGCATCCCATGAGTAAAGTAATTAATTTGTACATTCAGTAAATTAGGTGCCACACCACAATCTGAAAGACGTTGAATGAGAATGCCGTGGTCAAGTGATCCGAAGACATTAGCATAATCAAGAAAAGTTAAACGGAAGATGAAATCCCATTTATCCTATAAGGATGAAACGGAGTTAACAACGTAAACAACAGCATCAAGAGCGGAAAGCGAATGCTTGTATACAAACTGAATAGGGTCGTGGGTGACAGAAAAAACGATCAGCGGGTTAAGAAGGACTCTTTCGAAAACGTTCAATAATGCTGATATGCAGGCAATCAGTCGATATTCGGAAGATCGTTTTTTGGGAATTGGGGTTATCCGAGCAGGTCTCCAACAATCAGGGATGCTTCCAGATGACATACACAAATTGAACAACTCGGAAATAGGTGAAGTAAGTTGTTCAGTACAATCTTTCAGTAGTGAAAGGGGCAATGAATCAGGGCTATGTGTCTTGTTAGATTTAAGGGGCTTGAGTACATTCAGGACTTCCACTGGGGTAACAGGTTGGTTCTTTCAAGTAGATATAAATAAAGATGGTGTTGAGTTCATTATAGTAGCATTTGCGAATTGACGGTTTAGCTCCTCAACATCCGGAAAGGATCTGTGGCGTGATCCACAGAGCTGCTTCAAAGCAGACCACATATCGCGGCAGCTCTGGTTTCCCATACGAATTTCGATATTCATCCGATTTCCATTTTGATCAATAATGATAGTTGTTTGACAGCACTGAAGAGAATCTGTCAGTTCGAATATATAAGGTCTCAAAAATTAAGATAAAATGTAAGATGCTCACAAATGGAAGAGTTGACTGCGTTGGCAAAGACAGTGAAATCGATAAATGAAACCATATCTTCAAGTTTGGATAAGTTTTCATGACTTCTCCTTCTGATGGTTCTGGATGTGGAACAGTTCATATGGTGCTGAAAATAGTTACCGTTAGGGTGCAAACAAATTGAGCAATGATCGGAGCTACCTATGGGAGCCCGCTCCTCAATGAAAAAATTTTGGGGCTAGTTACAAAAATCCCGTCAAGTTGAATACTAGGCCGGGTAGGAAAATCTACAAGATTCGTCAAGCCTGAAGTTGTAAGCAAAGATATATTAAAACGATTAAAATCACCAGCAGCAATGCATAAAGACTGATGTAAACCGGTTATAAGTTGAGAAGGGGAGGAGTCGACAAACAGACTAATATCAGAGACAGGCGTGTCGAGAGCGATGTAAATGTTCGCTACTGTAATATGATGAAAAAGACTGATAAATCGGGGTTTATAATGAACAGAAATACAATTTATCTTTGTAGTATTAAATTGAAAACATTTACGAGCGTTTTTGCACCATTTCCTGTTGACTTCTCCACCAGTTCTGTGAAGGAGATTCCCATTACTGTCGCCCCGGAATATATCAAGTCCATCAAGATGCACGACATTGTCCTCAATATCCGGGTGTAGGCAGCTTTACTGGAGTAGAATAGCCCCTACATTCTTGCATTCCTTCTGGTGTATTATACTCCTGACATCATCAAGTTTTCCCATGAGCGAACGAATGTTACATGAGATAATAGATGGAACTGTCAAATTATCAACAGAACGTCTCCTAAACGCCACACGCCAGCCAGCACGGTGTTTTTAAGGTGTCCTTGACAAGAGTTTTGTAGTCTCTTAAAGCGATTTCTCACAGAATGAGCAAAAATAAGAAACTGATGTTTCTGCGCGATAAACTGTAAGGATTTCAAAAATCTGGCCTTGTAGGACAACACTTGAACTTGTGAAAATAACAAGTTGATTCAAAAGTGATGACCACGCGTTACTCCACTGTAACTTTACGAAATAATATTCCACGATAACAAGGCACGGCCAAATTTAAAGGCCTCGCCAGTCTTTCCTGTTCTGTACAGTCTGCGGTTATTCTACTGTTAGTTCAGCACCAAGAGGCATTTTAGGACCGTCACAGCTGTGCCATTTAGTAGGTGACGGACAATCGAACTGG